GATTGGATCAGGTAGAAATTCCCTATATGTATACATAAAAAAAATCAATTGAAAATATTATTTTGGAAGAATGGGGCTCCCAATCTTAAGAGTATGCTACCTGTAATAAAACAATTAAATTTATACTAAAAAAAATCATTACACAGAAAATGTTCCAGCTGTAGTCTTTAATGGTGGTAGAACTGGAGTAGTAAATCTCTCTGGTGGTAAACACACAATTGGACTAAATAAGACAAAAGACAAGTTAATAGGTAGGTTTAATACAATTAAAAGAATTTCAATATTGATAATATATTAAACAAAAAATTACTTCAAAACTATTTCATCTATTCCATGGTCTGTATCCATATCACATTCATTTGTACTACTTTCAACATTATCATCAAAATCAGAACTTCAAAAATTAAAATAAAATAACTAACAGTTTATTTCTCTATAATATAATAAAATATTTACTTTAGTGGTACTGCATCTGGTCTTAAATTGTAAGCATTCATAGCATTATCATTATAATGGTATGGAGCAAAATGTAACGAGAACTACAGCTAAAATACAAATTATTTTTAAAACATATGCATCATACTTAATTATTATAATTAACAAAATCCAATTCTCATGTTTAACTAATACATAATAACTTAAATTTACCTGAATTAAAATTAATTTGCCTAAGATTCTGATGACCTTGTAATATTTGATTTTGCCATAAAATTCTTAATTCTGCATCTTTCGGAAACCTGTGCAAATACGGTTTTGGATAGTTTGGTAAACCTTTTTTTCTGCTGCCACTCAAACACCCAAAAAACTCACACACCGGCATTATAATAAAATATGTAATTTATTATAATAATGTACATAAAATGATTGAGTCACAGTAATAAATCACGAGAAGGATAAGCAATAAGTTACATAAGAAACAGGATTATATTTATGTAATAATATAATCAATCGATTAGTTCTGATTAGTCAATAGTGATTGTATAGATAATAAGCATAACCATTGATAAATTAAAATAAAAAGTATTTTATCAATGGCATATTGGCATAACTACTTTTTACAAAGTAGATTCATATTTACGCGGTAACCAAGTTCTTTATAATAAGGACCAATGAAAAGCGGAGAACCTAATACACAGGAAAAAGTGGGGATGCGCATACAAGATTAAAATTCATACTGTTGCTGACATACCTATATATTTTGTCATGGTCGCACCGTTAAAAACGATATCATTACCGAGACTAGAACTATGCGCTGCGTTACTATTGGCTCGTATGCAGCAATGTGTAATTCCAAAAATACGACTAGAAATCGAGAGGAAATATTTTTGGTCGGATTCTACTATTACTCTCGCTTGGATCTCGTCACCGTCCACTAAGTGGAAAACATTTGTTGCCCACAGAGTGGGAGAGATTCAAGATTTATCTTGCGCTAGTGAGTGGTAACACGTTAGTACACACGACAATCCGGCTGATCTAATATCGCGCGGGTGTGATGCGTCACAAATTTCGGCTATGGAGTTATGGTGGTTTGGCCCAAAATGGTTGTGTTTAAATAAAGAGGATTGGCCGTCAAAAAATGAGGTGTTAAACCATCAATTAAATAATAAAAATATTCCTGAGAAAAAAAACGTATTAGAATTTTCCGGTATTATCACGGATAAATATTCTATATTTGACAAGTATTCGTCGTTGGATAAAATAATACGAATTACTGCGTATTGCGTGCGTTTTTATAATAAAATAAAAGAACCAAAAAACTCAGAGTGCGGAGTCTTAACAACAACTGATTTACATAATGCAAATTTGCGACTTTTAATTAGAGTACAAAAAGACTATTTTGAAAAAGAGTTAAATGAATTAAATTCGGCAAATGGTCAGGTATCGTCGAAAAGCAAGTTGTTCAGATTGAGACCGTTTCTCGACGAAGATGGATTAATACGTGTGGGCGGGCGGCTAAAGAATGCAGTATCATTAGGTATTTTTCAAAGGCAACCCATAGTATTACCAAAGGATTCCGCGTACACTAATTTGTTGTTTCGACGGGAGCATGAGCAGTTATTACATGGGGGTCCGCAGGCAATGTTAGCATCGATAAGGCTGCAATATTGGCCACTTAATGCCCGAAACATAGCTCGAAAGACCATGTACCGTTGTGTAAAATGTTTTCGAATGAAACCTACCGTGGTACAACCAATCATGGGCAATTTACCTAGAGAGCGTGTAGAAACACAATCTCGTGCATTTAAAATCTGCGGTGTCGATTTCGCGGGGCCTATAATGGTAAAACAAAGTTTAAGGCGAAATGCACCCACGACAAAAGGATATGTTTGTATATTTGTATGTTTTGCCACTAAGGCGGTGCATATTGAGGTCGTTATAGATTTGAGTACTAAATCATTTTTAAATGCGTTGAACCGATTTTTTGATCGCAGAGGTAAATGTGCTACGATTTATTCTGACAATGCTACAAACTTCGTAGGAGCAAACAGGCATTTAAAAGAGGTGTATCAACTTTTTCGAGATCAAGAGCATCAAGATATCGTTCAATCTGACCTGGCTACAATAGGAGTACAATGGAAATTTATTCACCCCAGGTCACCTCATTTTGGGGGATTATGGGAGGCAGCGGTTAAGTCAATGAAATCATTATTACGAAGTGTACTAGGCGAATCTTATTTAACCTACGAAGAGTTATGTACTATACTCACTAGGGTAGAAGCGTGTCTAAATTCTCGGCCTTTAACGGCTTTGTCCTCTGATCCTTCCGATTTATTATATATCACTCCAGCTCATTTCCTAATCGGAGACTCCCTAATGTCTTGTAATGAGACAAAACGGAGTGCCCATTTAGATGGCGCACTCTAGCGGTCTTCATTACATCCTCTCACAACAAGCACCGCCGCCCAAAAAACGAATGCATCCACTGTGCACAACGGACAAACGCCGCAACAGATAGCGCTGGCCGGCCACATAGTACAACAGCCCTTGGCCGCCCATCGGAAAACATGAGTTTTCTCAGCAAATAAAAGAAAAATCAAATCGCTGATTCCAGATTAGGAATCGTCAGCATTTCAACTATCATATTATTACTACCAACAAGTTCAAACAAACACCTAAAAAACTCCACTAGCAAAAAAGAAACAGAGTCATGTAACCGGGACCAGTGTTCCGCATACTACACAAATACAAGCCGATGAGAGACCGTAGAGACACCTTCTCCCCGCCGAGTGCAAGGCAATAGCGAGCCGCACGAGTTTTACCACTCGTGACTACGGACGCTATTCAACTTGCACATATAACAGTGATTTGTCCAAAAGACTGCACAAGCCGCACCAGTTCTTCAACTAGTGAATAACGGATGTGCACATAGTCTTTCCCGACACTCCCGTATCCGCGCACTGTCGAACGCCGAGCCGTTGTTGCCGCCGTCTGATCCGTTGTCGCCGCCGTCTATCGTGAACGCCGAGCCGTTGCCGCCGCCGTCCGATCAGTTTGTTTTTTATCGTGAGCGCCGAGCCGTTGCCGCCGTCGTCCGATTTTATATTGTCATTATTTCAACGTCAAGCCGCTGTTCAAATAATAAGTTGCATCGGATTACAACTTATTGCACGCTGAGCCATCACTGCTGTCACTGCGTCTACCTGCACGAGTCAACCAAGCCAACACCACCGGCAACTACCGTCTGTTGTATCAGACGGGTAGGGTTGAACAACAGGATACTGCTGACATTCACCCACCATCCACATCTGTACGGACCTCATCACTGACAGAGAGTCAAAAAAACCGTGAGTTATATGTACACATGCCCACCCATTATATGTATCCCCAAGATAAATATTTTAAATGTACACTCGAAAGAGTATAAGCTAATTGAAAAGAAATATTGTACCACGAATGATATAAAATCTATGTACAAAATAATTAAGTATGAAAATAAACGCACGATAATTACCATAAACCAAACAGCTTTGAAAATTCATTACAGTCTATACCAGAGCGGGATGAAACAAATACGCAGGTAAACCGTTTAGACCGTTGGCGCCGCGTTCAACAATTTTCACAGATTTTGTGGAAACGTTGGAGTCGCGAGTATTTGCATCAATTGCAAGAGAGGTCAAAGTGGGCTAGTGAAAAGGGACCCAAAGTAGACATCGGCAGTGTAGTTCTAATTCGGGAAGAAAATCTGCCACCCTTACGGTGGAAAATCGGACGAGTGAAGGAGGTGACACGGGGAGATGACAACATCATTCGTACCGCGGTAGTCAAAACGGTTGATGGTGAGTTGACACGGGCAGTGCGTAAGCTATGTCCGCTACCATTCGAAGGAAATGATGTTTAAATTCAAAGGCCGAAATAAATTAATTCTTTTCATGATTTTTTCGTATATGAATTATTTGTTTATGATTTTTATTCGTATTATTATTAATATTTAAATACAATACATTTTTTTTATATATACCTTTTATTATCCATTATATTATATTATGTTATTATGTTAGTCATGTACTCATGTATTATAATTATTGTTAGTTGAAACATATTTCAAGGCGGGCGGCATGTCGCGTATCGGTTTAAATATTATCGATAAAGAAAGGTAATAACCGTAATGATATTGTTATCGGCTAGTGGGGCCGACGCGGATTTGCCTTTGATAAGTTTTGAAAATATGTATAGTTTAGTTAGTCGTCGAAAAATAGCGAACGGGACATGTCGGCTCTCCATCGTAATAATAAAAATAAACTTATTTAACAGTTTTATAGCTCAATTTCGTGTAATTTATTAATTTAAATAGTTTGCTAATTAAAACTGAATATCCGAAGTAACCAGCATCGGAAACTTACAGTCCACTCCGCAACAACTGTTTCAAAATCAATTAATACAAATTACAAGGGTGTGATCAGAGAGGCTGCTTAGTTTTATTAGTCTGCCCTGGAAATGTATTAATGTTCACTATGATGTAGGTACGTGGGTGGTTCTCGACCTTTTTTGTTCACGGCACACAATAATACATCAAAAGTATTGTATAACTAATATTATTAATATTATTACAATTATTTATTTCAACATAATATTGTCTCTTCTTCTTCTTTTTCTTATTATTATTATTGTTATAGAAATATAGGACTACCGACTAGCTGGCCAGTCTGTGCTCCACTGAGTTTTAAAAATTATTTTTTATATTTATTATTTTTATACTAGCTGTAGCTCTAAAAGCTGCTTTTATATTATAATTTTATTCTGTTGAGCTTGAAGGGCTGTACCTAAAATATTACCGATTAATTTTGTCAGCCATAAGGACTGTGATTTATTATTATTATATTTGTATACCTTTTTGTTGCTGTAATTTATTATAATTCTTGTAATTAATTATTATTCAACCTTATATTATACAGCAACGCATCTTTTACCAGCAACCGTGTTAACATTTTTTTATTATAAGTTATTTGTAAACACACATATCCTCATTTAGACACAAATAAACATATTGCACAACACGCAATAAATTAACCTCGGCGATCCCGACCACTACTGTTCGAGCTACTATACCACTACACACCCAGCTAGTCCTCCATATTTTTAACACTGCTAGCGGTGTGCAACTAAGTTGGTGTCTAGTTAAGTATATTATTATTATACTCCCCGGCCCGAACAAACGTCATCCAGCAAATTCAACCGGTTTTAAGCGACAAAGTCATAGAAAATTGGAAAATAATCTGCCGAATACTTGCCACCAAGCAAAGCCGTGGTCGAAATTTAAGTGTTATATTGTATACATAATTGCCATAGAACGTTCTTTAATAAAAAACCAAATTGAGTGGATATCTCAGACACTAATAGTTATTTTTTCACATTTAAAGATCAATATCAATATCTTATTGAAATACCCATTATTAAATTAATAATCATTAATACTTTTTTTACTTAGGTAGTTGTATATTATAATATTATTATTAAGTATATAATTAAAATGCATATGAACATTTTTGAATATGGGTTAGAAAATGTCTAACATTCCATTTTTTTATTTGTAATAGGGCATATGATATTGATCTAAATATTAGAGGAATACTTCAAAAACAGAAAATGTTTTCGACAGCAGTTAGATTTTTAAATTAAGTTAAAAAGACAAACCTATTGTTTTATACATATTATATAATGTTATAAAATATGAGCTAATACAAGTTTTTGATTTATCGTCACACGAAAATATGGTCACCAACTAATTGTTATACACAACGATATACACTCGGAATATATAATCCAATTTTTTTATGAAACAATTTATTATTAAACAATAATTCTACAGTGTGATCAAAAAAAAAAATGTAGGTATACTCGTTTATCTACCTAGTAAGTAATAACCGTAATAATAATAGCGGAATACATTTCGAAAAATGTCTGATTTAATAATTCATGTGCTCGTATATGTAGATATTTTTGGGATCCTATTGCTATGCATGTATTTTATATGATGTTTTTCGACAGCGGGAATGGTTTGGTACTCATCGAATGCCGTTCTTAAATTGCTTACCTTTACTGCTCTCATAATACATTAATACTAGAGATCGCACTTGAACTTTAATGCCCTTAAAAAAGCAGTTATAATAACTGAAAAGCAAAAATCGTAAGTGATATACTTAAAATAATTGTATTGTATTATATTATAAAAATAATAATGTGAACGTCCTGCTAGTTTTGTCAGTAATTTCTACTGCGCAGAGGGACCGCACCAGCGCTTTCGTCGTCCGTTTCTGATCCATCGAAGTTGTGGCGCGGCATCGGACGATCGTCGTAGTCATCCCGCCCGGACGTGTTACCGCCCTCCGAACAGGACGTGTCGTAAGGATCAGAGGCTCTGGCGTCACCGAATTCCTGAACTCGGCCGCTTCTCGAATCACTCATCGACAACGACCAAGGCCCGGTGACCAACGAGCCCGGCATGCTCACGTCCTCGACGAGATCGTAAGCGGTTGGCCAGACATCATCGACAGTGCGGTCGTGGTGTGGCAAACTGACATCGCTGGTGCTATCCGACACGCTGTCGTCGAACGGATATCGATCGTTGTTACTTATCGACAGGTTTTCCTCCCTCCGACGCGCGTAATTCACATTGCGGCCGAGGGGCTGCATACGAGCCTCGATCCGCATTTCAATCGAACTGTCGGTCGAAGTTAATGTAGACAGCGATTCCGCGCTAAGGTCGTTGCGGAATCGGTTCGTCTTCATGTTGCACGATTGACATCCATCGACCCCATCTTCGCCGGACCAATCGCTTTCCCCACCGAAGCTGTCGCCCGTCAGGTTGTTGTCGTTGTTGGCAGCGGCTGCGGCTGCTGCGGCGTAAAAATCGTTGGCTGGCAGCAGCGGCGATAAGGGCGACGATGGCCGTGAATTCATTACCGCCGCCGGAAAATCGTTGACCGTTCTTTCGGACGTCAGAAACCGGGAAAGGTCATTTGCCATGTGCCTGTCTGAAAACGCGGAATAGCTACTCACGTCTGGATTCCAGGCAGCGGCAGCGGCTGTATCGGATCTATTATTATCACTGCTAGGCCCCGTAGACTGTTGCTGCTGTTGCTGTTGTTGCAATTGGCTGGCGCTTCTGTCCGAATACGACACACCTGAAGTGTCAGGCCGCTTCGGCGTCGACGGCGGATGTTCCGCAAATGCTGCCGGACACGAGTGGTTTTGATCTTTGGCAGGGCACTGTCCTACTCTCCGTCCGTCATTGGGTGTCAAACCACGTGCACTTGCACACCTGTCGCGCTGCTCGGGGGCGCTCATCCTCTGCCCCGAAGGCGTTCCACGCTGACTACTGCTGGAAATTTTGTCCGCGCCGTCGTTCCCTGTCCGTTCCGAGTTTGTGTCTTCACGATTGTCGAGAGACGGTCGATTGTGATGTTCTTGCGGTGGTTCTTGGAAGCTTTCTGTGGGTTTTGGACTCTGGTGTGGGGGAGTGGCCACCGTCTGCTGCACATCGCTGCATTGCCGTGCATTTTGATCTTCCGGTTCGACGCGCTCTATTTGATCCAACGACATCGACTTGCAGTTTTGATTGCAGTTCGATGCTTTTGTGGCCGACGGTATACTGCTGCAAGCCTGATCGGGTTCTCTCATCGATATCTCAACACTGGACACGGTCCAATCGCAATTCGAACTGTCGTTGAACGACGATCTGCCTGCGTTTAATACTGTCGAACAATTTTTTCGATCTTTCGATTCGCTATTATCGTTAACGGTCAAGTCGACTTCCTTAGGAAATTTACAGCATTCAACTGACTTCGTTTTCTTTGGAGTTCTCTTCAGACATTTTGAGCTGGACTTACATTCCTGATACGTCTTATTCAGATTACTAAATTTGGAATCGCTTTCATTGTTATTTGTAGTTGAAACAACATTTGTAGGTGTCTTATCCTGAATAATTTGACTTGCATATTGTATTTCTATTGTTGAGCTTGGCAACTGTGGTTTACCGCAATGAATAGTCATCATTGGTTTTTCACACGGTGTCACACATGCTTTAACTTCACAGCTGTTTTTGACAGCCCGCTTTCTTTGTTTTAATTTGCAAGTAAATGGTAGCGTTTCGTCCTTTTTTAACTTAAGATTGGAATAATTAACTAATGTTACACCCGTCATTTTGAAAATAAATTTTGCATCCGGAATTAGTGTAGCAGAATACATTCTTTGGCTTAATACCTTATTACCAGGGAACACTTTACAATACACTATTGCAAATGCAGCATCGTCGATTTGCTGTTGGTTACATTGTTGGTTTGCTACATCACTGGAAAAAAAAATGTTACTTTCAAAATAAAATAGTTATATCTGAATTACTTACACGTCAATTCCAATAGAACCTGCTGTTCTTTTGGGTCTATTTTCTTCACTACCTAGTATACTATAAGGATGCCAATTAAAAGCAGTCATAACTTCTTTTGATACTTGGTCAATTGGAATAATATCATCACACCTACAAAAAAAAAAAACATGGAAATATAAATATTTAATAGTTTATTACTTTAATTTGATTATAATTACTCGTTTCTGTGTTTACTGCTGGCATTTTTATCCCTGAAAATTTTTAATATTTAGTTATTTAATGAGTTGATTTATTGTAAAAGATTTCATTATAAAACATACTCGGTTACAATTTTAAAACGATTTAGGAATTTTTCCCATAGGTTATGATCATGGCTAGTCGGCAATTGAATAGACGTTGGATTGTACCATGTATAAATTGGCCAATCTGACCTTACATAGAACGACTGTACGAAGTATGGTGAAGTTTTAATTGTTGTGTAAGAACGCATATTTGTAGCTACAGCTGCAGAACGTTTGTGTTTAATCTCTTGTTTTTTCTCCTCATTAGTTAACGATTCATCAACTATATTATTATCTTGTAAGTATTTAACCATATCCATCTATATAGATTTATAGCGATTATTAAATTGATTAATTAAATAAATGAAAAAAGCTGAACATGTTACCGTATTATCAGACTTCAACTCTAAATCCTTAAGATCATCGGGTGGAGGTTTTAAAAACATTTGAAAAGATCTATCACTTCTCAACGATATAAATAAGATTTTGATAAGATGCATTTTTAAATCTGAACTTTCGTTATCTAATCGAGTTAGCCACGAAGAATAATTCATTTTGTCTAGAATAAATCATATTATTATACATTTAAAATATTTTCAACGTAAATACACTCCGTATTAATCTTATTTTCTTTATAATACCTGTTTCATTATCCAGCTTTACAATGGATAGATGGTTAATCTGTCGATAAAATCCATATTTTGATGCATCGTCTGTTTTTTCTTTGGTGGTTGTCCTTTTTATAATTCTCGGTGAACATTCAGTACGACTATTCATTTTAAAATTTGTTTAAAAAATTTTAATTTTTATAATTTACGTAATAAAATGGATAGAGTAGATTTATTGTATTTGTTTGTAAATTATTTGTTGTTTTTTTTTTAGTTGCCATGAGTTATATTTTGAAAAAAAAACATGTTAAAAAAGAGACATCACGATAATTTATATAATTAATATTACGACTTTATACTTGTACCTAATCTTTTAATTTGTAGACATAAATACAATTATTATGTTTATAGTTTTATACATAAGTCAGGAACTTGATTGTCTATTGTCTAGTAATAAAACATAACAACTAAAAAACTGTCACTTTTTAGGGTTTTAGGCGTTTGTGTACTTTCGATCCCATCTCCATCTTCTTATAATATTTTTTTTGGTGTTTTTTAATTCGTTACAACTTGAAGCAAATTTATAACTTGCTTAGAAATTTGTTGTAATATTGAATAAAAATTTGTAAATTGTATAAGTCTCAATGCCTAAAAGTCTTAACGATATTTACATAAGAATACGAAGTTTATGTTGAAAATCAATGTAAAAATTATACAGTTCACAATATCAGAAATCAGTAAATAAGTTTTTACAAATAACATTCATTGAAACAAAATAATTAATTTAAGTTACAATTATTTATAAAATGAAATAACTTAGTTACTAAGTTATTTTCTAGCATTCTATCTTTTTAAAGTGTAATCAAAAAAAGTAACTTATTGTAACTTAACTCTTAACTTTTTAACTAGTTAGGTACTACCTGCACCTTTGGTTCCATGCTTATATGGTATGCAGGTTACGAAGCGTCAAAATTGTTAGTAACAGATAATATATGTGCAAATTATGATGGGGCCTTAAGTGTATGTACCATTTTCACAGTATATTATACACATACAATATATAATTATAAAGGTACCTAAGTATATTATGCAGGTCACTTATATTATATTATCGACAAAATATATACGTAGCAATGATGCAATGAAAAAATAAATATAAATGTGTACTACCTAAGTATACTTTTTGAATATTTTTTTAGATATATTTAATGATATTATTGTTCAATAAATTAAAATCAATAGTAGACAGGACATTTTTCTGGTTATTGTAACTCATGATTAGTTTAAATTAAATGACAGAGCTTTTTAGGGTTCCGTACGCAAAGGGTAAAACGGGACCCCATGACTAAGACTTTGCTGTCCGTCCGCCCTTCCTTCCGTCCGTCTGTCACCAGGCTGTATCTCGCGAACCGAGATACTTAGACGGTTCAAATTTCTACAGATAACGTATTTCTATTGCCACTACAACAACAAATATTAATAATAAAATAAAATAAATAATTAAGGTTGCTCCCATACAACAAACGTGATTTTTTACTCGTTTTTTGCTGAATATTGATTTATTTTATTTACTTCAGAATTAAATAATTTTTTTTCTCCTTCCTCAAATAAATTTCTTTAGTTACCATAGCCCTTTATAGATACAATTTCGAATTGAGCAATAGATTTTATCAGGACTATCCGAAAAGCGAGAATAAAATAAATATTTAAGTGGGGCTCCCATACAACAGACATGATTTTGTTGCCTTTCTTATAGATAATGGTACGGAACCGAGTTCGACAAGCACTTGACCGATTTTTTATAATCTTTATATTGTATTTTTTTGCGACAATCGCTGTTTTTTAATTTATTATTATATTTCGTTTGTGTGCGCTAATCACCACTTTTTTATTATTCTTCTATGGTGTTTTTGGGCGCCAATCGCCACCTTTTTTTACCTTTATTATATATTGCGCGAGAGCAATATATATTATATAATAACCACATTTAATCATTATTATTTCGTGTGTGTGTCAATTACCATTTTTGTTAGCACAGGTAGCAGCTGGCCCGTGACCGTGTACCGTGTACCGTGATATTTGTGAGTTATATTTATATATTATTATTAGTAGTAGTGTTAGATAGCTGTTGGGCCAGTAGGGCCGTAATTTATAATTATAATTTGTTAGGCCACAAGGGCCATTATACTAAATTACCCTCATATTTTTAAACGTCGGTGTTGTGAATTATATATATATTGTAAATTAATTGTGTAATGCGCAATACAGCCAACCAAACACGAATAATTGTAGTTACCATTTTATTATCTAAGTTAAATATTTGTCCATTAGGATAAGAATACACACCCACAGTATACACACTTACGCACCCACCGCATGCTAGCACTAGATAGTCTTCATCGGCGATCCGGTCCACTTCTAGAGTCCCTATACATAATTACACACCTAATACACAAGTCGGTCGGTGGGTACAGTGTGTTAAGTACTGTAGGTAACCGGCGCGCGTGTTATTATTATAGGTACAGGTCACTCTTACTACAAAAGGTTGGACTATCCTGAGTTATATTATTCTCTGAAGTTTAAGGCTGCCCTTTTAAATACAAGTCTCTCATTCTATCAGGAAATAAGAATGTGTAAAGACATGCTGGACCAAATCCGTCCGTATATTGCCGTATACAATACATTTTTAAAAATTAGTAAGTTAAATAAATATTCGTTAACTGAATCTCAATTCTCAATCATAAGACTTAAGTCAATTATGACAAAGTTGGCTTGTTTCATATTTTAGTAATTGTTCTGCCAATCCTTAAAGTTTATAGATTCAGTATTTCACAAGAATGTGATCTACGTTGCCCATAGCAGCGGTTCCCTATACATGAGCCGAGGCCCACTTGTGGGCCGCTAGCAGCTTGATACTGGGCCGTAAACCATATAATATTATTATATTATTATAACTGCCGTATAGCCGTATATACGTGCTTACGTAATACGTATATAAGTGGGCCTCAGAGATATTTTTTACAAAATTTGTGGTCTGCACAACTAAAAAGGTTGGGAACCGCTGCAGACCTATAGGATATATTTAATAATAATGCATGTATAACAATTTAACTGACACTGTGTTATGAATAAAATATATACGCATTAAATGTTAAAATAAAATAAAAAAACAGTTCTGGAATAATATCGTAATAGGTGATTAGGTATTGATAATAATATTTAGACATTAAGTATAAGGATATATTGTTAGGCTTAGGAATTAGGTGGGCACTGCAAACATTCACAATAAAATACTGAAAATATGAAATGTACCGACGACCTGCAATTACTAATGAATAAGTTATAATGAGTACCTAAATCTATTGGCTCTGGCTGCCATGGTTAGGGTTAAGTAGTTAAGTATAGCCTATAAGTAAGTACATAAGACGTATTGAGCATTATTACAAGATGGTCACTTAAACATTCATATCAGTAGGTATTCATTACCTAGTCATTACTAAATAATTATCCACGGATTTCTTGTAGATATAGGTAGATAGGTCCTAGATATATTGAACCAACAATCTTTACTAGGCATATTAATTTTCAATATTGATGTACGATATCAGATAAGCAACACAATGTGTATATACTTTCTTTTTTTTTCATTCCAAACATTTTATAGGCTTTTATTTGGTCGGCACCTTTTTTGTGCCATCTGCGGTCAATATATTTCTATTTACCTGACTATAAAATTTGGACGCTATATATAATACATATAAATGTATTGTAGTGAACTTAATTTGTGCCACTATGTATATATTTACTATTTAATTATATTTTAACTTCCCTTCACGCTTTTCGAGGCTTGGGACTGACATTTTTTTTCTTACTTTTAAAAGCTTATTATTATTATAAAAACTCATATAATAATATATTTTAATTTTTAATTTTTAATACGTTTAAATTTAAATTTTAGCACTAAAACACTGTAATACTGACAGATCGAACTGTACCAAATACTACCAATGCTTATACAATTCTAAAAACTGAGTAAATATTACCGACGATGTTTTAGGATAATAATAAAATGTACAGATATAATAAATATATCAAACATTATTAAATTATCGATTATGACATCGAATATTCATAATCGCCCGAATGGCTGTATCACAAATCTATTTATCCCGTATAAATAATAATACTAAACTTTTTAAACATATTTTCTTCATATAATATGTATTTAGAATATAATATTATACATAGCACCTTAAATTGCATAGTCAGGTAAATAGAAATTAATGGATCGAAAATGGCACGAAAAAAAAGCCGACCTCAAATGTCCCGTAACCATTGGGGGGATTAGCCCCTCCCCATAATGATTGGAAATTTTTCAACTGTCCCACTTCTTATTTTGTAAAAAAAGATTTAAGCCCCTCCCCCTAAAATCCAAAAAAATATATAATATCTATTATAGGTTAGGTTACAGTTCTGAAGTAAGTAGTTATAGGTACAAGCCCCGAGGTCTTAAAAACCACCACGTTATGAATCATAGTACCTACACAAAAATAATGGAAAAACTGCATAAAATAAAAACGATCAAACATCATCAACATCAGAATATTTGTAACAGGAACTTATGCTGTGATCGTGATGTCCAGTGAGGTGTCACCGTCGACACTCACCGCCGCCGACAACATGGAAACTGACAAACGAAGGTACATCGAGAAGCAATTAGTCCATGCATACGACCCTGGTCCTACGGGACTTAAACTCAATGCTGATGTTAATATATTATGTTATAATTTATATATATATATATAAAATATTTATATAATATATCATGTAAATATTTATATAATATATCATGTAAATATATCTCTGCGGAACACTCTATCAGTACATGTTCATGGCCTAACCACTTTTTATTATGTGTAGCCGTCGTGTTAATATTAATATAGACACTTTCTTTGTACTATCTCCACTCATACTAAGCCAGTAAGCATCGGCATAACTAGGGAGGGGAACCCTCTATGTGGGGTTTTAGTCCCCTATAATAAGTATTGTACTTATTTTATTATATACATTTTATTTTTAATGATGAGTTTATACTTTCATTTTATTGTTTATTTTTAATTTTGATTTTAGAGTACAGTTACGCTTACTGTGGTGAGGGTGTGAAAATTATTTTGAGCATTAGTTTTCTAGGACTCAAGCCTCTGTAACTATAAAATCCTAGTTACGCCTATTGCAAAGCCACGCTCCTCTTTTGAGATAGTCCTAAGTCTTTGTGAACTATGAAGCGAGATGGAATTTTCATTGTTAAAAACGGTTCTTGTTTGGGTATTGATACGTATTTGCACAACCGTAGCTGTTTTGAAATCTATCTTTTTGAAAAAAGGTAACAAAATGGGGTATACCCATAAAATGCATATAATGCATACTATATACATATATACCTATATAATTAGTATATATATATATATAGCTTTTATAGAATAGTAAACCGTGTACAATAGGTGTATACATATGTCATTGTCGTGTTTTGTATAAAATATTCCGTCCCCTATGAACATACAAAGCCTCGTACCATCTGTGAGGGTTAGCCGTCCAAGTGATATAATTATATTATATTGACATATTATTGTGTAGTGTGTACCACTCGTAAATATGTACCCAAGTCATAAAATACATGGCATCGTCGATAAATGTTGATTCTATGCGGTGTTTGGACAAATTGGCTAAACCCTAAAAATATTGAACTAAATAACATTAAAAAAATATACAAATGTTTCATATTTGATTCTCATAGTCATGCATAAGCGAATTATGTTAAGTATTTTCCTTTACCAATCAGTCAAAGCAGAAAGTCGATGTCAAAACACTTCGAGACACGGATGTATAAAAAGATCATTTTTAAAATGAATAAATATTAAAATCTTATGATTGTTATGATCAGGGCTCAGAACTTCATGACTATGCATATTTCTAAGAAACTACATAATGGTTAAAATCTGATTTGTTTCATATTCGTTTCACGATACATACGTATAATGAAAATACAAATATGTATGTTTCATGTTTTTGTATATTTTATTGAATTTATGTCATTTGGTAGTTACCACCATCACATTATGACTTTTTTGATGTTTCACATCTCTTTTTTTTTGTATGACACTAATGTAGCCTTCAAACAATAAACAGTTTTTTGAAAAAGTAACAACCTTAATAACCTGTATTATGTAAATTGAGATTGTGACTGTCTTAACAATTGTTTTTATCTGTAGTTTTTAGTTATTACCATTATGTCATAAGACCAAAATAATGTCATATATTTATACTTTGAACCCACACAATAATATAAATGAACAATTTTTGGGCTACACAAATCTCGGTAATAATCAGTTAAAACTACTGCCTTAAGTTATAAAAAAATCGTTTAAAGGAGAGGGAGGTATAACACCCTATTTACTTTCAAAAATTCTATTTTTTAACAATATTTTAAATTTAATAAAAATAATTTGTACATTCCTAGTTTAATTGAGTGTGTTAGAACATCGCACTAGATAGACGTACATCACCCCGGCCCCACCCATTAGGAATTTTCGTAAATTTTCTTTACCAATATTTAGTACGTAATTTGTATGAATTTGTACGACCATTTCAAAATTTATGCGATCGTCGTTCGGCGGCAATCGTGAAAACTTAAAAATCGTCGTCACCCCAGCCCCATCCCGTAGCGAAATTACAGTGTTATTGAATGGTTCGCTGTTATATTTTTGGTGCATTTCTTTCGTATTTGAATCAATATATATAAAAGACAAAAAAAATTTTGAGTGCGTCTGGCTATGTCCTATTTTTTTTGCATTTTTAAGAGTAAGTAATAGTTAAACTAGACATTAACGTACGCATCACTCGGGATCCGCGACCTACCGCAGAATGATTGCCTACCTTAATATACTGCTCGCATAACCACAAAAACCTAGCAATTGCTATTCATCACTCATCGCCGTGTCTAGCTAGTAACTGATATATTATTTTATTACGAACTAATATTGTAACTTATAACATATTGTACAATTAATATTAGCGTTTTTTTCTTAGAATTTTGACAAAATTCTTAAAAATCACAAAAAATTAGCAAATTATATTTAGTAAGAAATTCATAAAAAATTTTCTTTTTATATCTACGATTTAAAAATTTGATCCAAGATTCTTTAAAAGTTTGTCTACCTTCGTCGAAAAAAAATATCTACCAGATAGTCAAATTTAGAAAATTTAAAACAAGGTTCCATTTAAGTAGTTTACTCCGTAACTAAGAAATCTAAAAAAATATTAGAATACAGTTATTTTTTACGCGAAGATCGATTTAGGTGAAAAACGGCGACGCCCCTAACAACGGGCTTTTATCGATTTAAAGCAGGTACCTATGTTGAAGGGTTTCACGGGTGTGGCAGCCCCGTGCGCATGCCTTTAGTCAGGCGGCAGGGACAGTTAACAACATTCATTGTACCTACATACTATCAGTATTCAGTACTGTGTGTTAGTTCTTATGAGAATGACTACTTATTGACTAGCAAATAGCAATATTAGTCAACACTGTTATTCGGTTTCAAACATAGTTATTCAATTTTAAGTTTAAGCTATTCGTGTGTTATATGAATATAATATAATATCTACACAGCGTCATCACAGCGTTGCTGAATAAAATATGAACTCAATACGTACGTCTTCTTTTACTAAATATAAACGAATATGACGAACAATTTACCAATCAATAACACAAAGACTGAGAACATACTACAAAACTTTATAACAATATTGCTGTAATGGTAAGTAATAATATTGTGTGAGATTACATTTTCTTAACAAATAAAATAATATACTTTCGTAATGTTTATTTTCGTATTCCTTCTAGTTTCTACATAATTTATTAGCTGTGATTACTTAGAAACAGTGTCGAGAATAGAGAACGAAAATTTTAACTAGTAAAGATACAGATAATTTTATTTAAATTTATCAAGATACAGATGAAAATAAACACATTTTACATAATACCTAGATAAGATAAAAATAATCTAATATGTATCTAGTTAATATTGTAAATAAAACTAATTTTTATTATATTTAAATAACAAAGTTACTTCTTTACCTTGAACATAAAGTAACTAATAGATGATAAGCATCACGCTTATCGCTTTTCATTTAAAACAGATCCAGCTCTCTTCTATGAATGATATAAGACATTTCATTTATAATTTCTTAGTATAATAATATAACAATAATTATTATTATGTGAATAACACGTAGTTTTATTTTCGCTCAGCTTTGACAAAGTTTTTTAGTATTGTTAATCAATTATTTTTGTTCACTTTTTTTAATACAATTTTATAAATATAATATAAGTTATAATATTGTAATACTTGTAACTATATTTACAGCTAACCCAGTGCACTTCGTCGCCTGTTAAAAATATCAACTATTTATGATTCAAATGTTGTATTAATTTCATCATTTAGTACCCAGTATAGTAATGTCAAAACTTTCCGTGATAAAATAATTCCCCTGGATTTACCCCATCGTAATCCCCATTAAAGATTTTTAACACAATCATATAAAATACAGGTCTAAAATTCAATTCAATCATAATAACTATTTTGTATAGCATAGTAGAAGAGTAAAACAAATAATCAATATCTCAATCATCAATACTAAATTGTGTAACCAGTAGCGACCCTAAATTATTCAAAATATATTATTATTATTTGTATTATTTATATAAAGAATCCTAAAATTGCAATAAAAAAAAGGAATAGGTATATTTTGCTAAGTGTTACAGTAGGTTACAAGTGGGTCATTGAAATTGATGGTGTTAAATTTGAATTCAATAATATAAAATCATTGTATATGAAAAACAGCTCTGAACGAAGACGGCCTGACAGCCAATAATATTACTTGATAATTTAGTATATTTGATGATATGATTGTGATTAGAGTAATTTATTTGACTATTGTACTATTATACTATTATACTTTTTATAGTTCTACTACATTTTTATTAGTACTCAGGGCTGTCCCAAAGGTGGGTTTTAGGAGGTGTCCCACCCCCCTAAGCGTACAATATGTATATGTCAGTTGACACATTGATACATTAAGTATTTGAGTTGTGCAGTTGACACTCGGAAAATTATAATTTTTATTGACAGTTTTAAATAATTTTGTATATTATACTACTAAGTCCAAATATATTAATATATTATAATACTTTAATATTGTAATTTATAATAACATGAAGGTAATATAAGTTAATTTTCAGATTGCCAACCGTCTAACACAAATACTATTATAATATTTTAGACTTCAGTACCTATCAATGTATTATATATAATTATAATAGTATATAAATTTGCCTATACATGTATTTCTTCTATTCAACCATTATTCACATTATTTTCTCAACCATTTAGTAAAATCATTATTTCATTGGATAATGTAAAGAAATCTATTTCTTTATTCAAACCAAACAGTGTAGGTGAAAATCTTCTAGATTAAGACTTAGTTCAAACAGAACTAGAAATATTATTTAGTATGTTACAAGAAGATAGAACATTACCATTTAATTCTTTAATGGAAAAAGCAGAAGAAGTAAAGCATATTTTACCATGCGCTAACCAAATTTGTTGTTTAACATTGACTTCTCCTGTAACAGTCGAATCAAACGAAATATCTTTTAGTAAACTAAAATGTATTAAAACACATCTTAGGTCAACAATTTCTGATGAGAGATTAAACTCTTGAATTGTATTGGGAGTAGAAAAAGATATTGTTGACCTTTTGGATATAAATAAAATACCACATCAATGGTTAGTTTTAAAAAATTGACGTATACAAATTTAGTGTTGAGTTTATTATAAATATAATATGCATTATAATATTTATTTGTTGATATAAAAATACAATTTGAATATTATATTATATTATTAAATTATAATATTATAGGTAATATAGTAAATGTATAACAGTCAACAGTGTTATAAATTTTGGAATTGAAAATATTGTATCCTTATACACTTATCAAGATATGATGAAAATATATATATGCATAAGAATTAAGAGATAGTAAAATGAAGAACATAATAAAATATTTAATATGTTGTAATATTGTGTAAAATTTGTCTACTGACTACTATGTAACCTGCAGGTGGCAGGTAGTTGTCGAGCGAAAGGATAAATTTATTTTTTTTGAGTTGTCAAATTATGAATCAAACCACCCCCCAACCCCGCCCACCATGATTTGTCTATCGGGACGGCCCACAGTGGTCTGAAACGTTATTTTAGGCGCTCAAAAGTCCTATTCCAAATTTATCAAAAAAAATTTTAAAAAATGTTAAAACCTTATTATCATATGTTCCTTAGCTCGAATATAAAATTTTACAATCCTACATTTATTTTTACCATGTGTATAATTATTTGAACATGGACAATTGTACGTTTTATACGATTTTTTCGTTATTTTTAATGAAACTTTATTTTTTATTTATCAGGGAAATATAATTTTTTTTTTCATGTTATTTCCTATATGCGTATTAATTATATTAGACAGGTAAAAAAATATTTGTTAAATTTTTTTTTTTACAATCCAAAGTTATTTGGAAATATTTTAAATTTTAAGATTTTTATTTTTTTCTGAAGCGTGTAAATAAAAATTACTCAATTTTACCCAAAATCTGATATGTACATAAAATAAAGAATATTCCCAGGATTTTGAAAATGTTATTTTTTTTGCGTCCATAGGGAGTTATAGCGTACAGAAATTATTTCTGTAAGGTTTATCGTAATATTTGCAACAAAACATGAATTGTGTAGGAAATTTATGAACTTTGGTATTTGAATTCGGTATTTTTATGTCATAAACAGATAAGATAATTTTATGATTACCTACCAATTAAATTATATTGATAATATACATTTGAACGTCTTGTCTTTAGTCATTGTGTAGACTGCAGTAGAAACGACAGTATTTTTAGTAAAATATTACTTACCTATTAAATTAAGTAATTTGTATAGTATAATATAAAATATAAGCTATATTTGATATAATGGATAGTCAATTTGAAGGTAAGAGAATATCTACATATACTTTTAATATTTGTTGGTATATATAATTAAGCTAAGTCGGTTTATATAACGTATTTTCAGTTGATCTCGTAACTAACAATAAGCGTAAAAAATGTATTTTGAATCGTGAACTGTATGAAGTTGTGCGTAATAAATGTTCTATGCAATCTGTGACAACTGTTAGTACAAGACAATTATTGTTTATTTTTATTCAAAATAAATTCAATGGTTTGAAGTGGAACAGTGTTCATATTAAAACAATAGAAAGTGCAATATTAAATTTTTCTTTAGCATTATCAAAAAAATGGACAAAAGCTTGCCGGAATAATAATAAATTTAATAAAATTCATACTGAATGGCTTGATTCATACTTCAAAATACCTAATCAAAATAATAATAATGTTTCAACGTCGTTAAACATTGGTAGACCTATTAAAAATTTTAACGAATGTGCAGATAGTTCTAAAAGACGAAAAAATAATATTTCGATAGCTAATTCTACTATGACGACTCCTGAAATACATTACGCTTCACAAAATAAATTTTCAATGGCTGGACAGCGAAATATGGCCCAACTTTTTAAAGAGGTAACATCATCTGATAAAGCTTCAGATCTTTTGAAGTCTCACGCCAAATTAAACTCTTCAAAAATCATAGCACTTACGGCTGATGAAGCGTTGGCATTTTTTATTGAAAATGATTTAACGAAAAATCAATATTTGAATATAAGATTAACAGAGAAACAACATAATGCTGATATCTATCCACCATACGATACAATTATTGCAGCAAAATCATTGTGTTATCCTGAAAATTGTATAGTATCTGAAACTTTTTGTGAAATAAAACTGCAGGATCTTCTTAACCACACCTCAAAAAGAATATTTGAAATTCCCTCAATAAATTTTAATGAAAATTATTTAAAAGAATTTGAAATTATTTATAAATGGGGTTGTGATGGAAGTAATGGACAGTCACTATATAAACAACTGTATCGTGATTCAAACGAATGCTCTGACAGCGATTTATTTCTTTTTTCAATTGTTCCTCTCCAGTTGCACTCTTTTAATGAAAACAATGAAAAACATATAATATGGAAAAATAGAAGAACTTCTTCTACACGGTTTTGTAGACCAATCAAGTTTAAATTTCAAAAAGAAACGAAGGTTACTACATTACATGAAGTAAATGGTATTGAAGACCAAATACAAAATTTGTTGGCTTCACACATAATATTTAATGGTAAAGAAGTAAAAGTTAAGCATACTTTATTATTTACAATGGTTGACGGAAAGGTAAATGAGTTATATAATAGTATATATATTTTTAAAATATGAAATATTTATTTAAAATCATTATTTACTTGTGATATTATCATAAAGGTATGTAACTCCATGACAGACACCTCAAGTCAAAAATGTTACATTTGTGGTTCTTCTCCAAAAGACATGAATAATATTGAACAAGTAAAAAAAAGATTAATTAACCACGAATCGTTGAGATTTGGACTGTCCACACTACATGCATGGATACGATTCTTTGAATGCTTGTTACACGTTTCATATCGTTTGGAATGTAAGACTTGGCAAGTATGTAAGATTGTTATAATATGCAAAATATATTTAATCAATAATTATATTAAACATTAAAAATTATATTTTAGGTTAGAACACCAGTACAAAAGCTAAGTTCTGCACAACGAAAAAAAAACATTCAAGAACGTTTTCGCACAGAAATGGGTTTATTGGTTGATGTTGTGCTACAAGGTAAAAACGAACTAATATTAATTTGGTGAAATATGAATTATGTACCGCAGATTTATTTACTCTGACAAATATATTTTCAGGGAAAGGAAATACAAACGATGGTAACACGGCAAGAAGATTTTTTAAAAACCCAGAAAAGAGCGCAGAAATAACTGGAATTGATTTTACATTACTCCAACGTTTTGGGAACATATTATCTGTAATTGCTAGTGGACGTAAAATTAATCCAATTACGTTTGATGAATATGCTTTGGCCACGGCTACATTGTTTGTACAACTTTATCCTTGGTACTATATGCCGGCAAGTGTACACAAAATACTTATTCATGGAGCTGACGTTATAAAATTCGCCATTTTGCCTATTGGTAAACATTTTTTTTTTATATACCTACTAAAATAATATTTTTATATATTTATTTTTTGCAGGACAACTTTCTGAAGAAGCCCAAGAAGCTAGAAATAAAGATTACAAACGAATAAGGCAAAATCATACAAGAAAAAATAGTAGATTAAATACCAATAAAGATTTAATACACATGCTACTCGTCTCATCAGATCCATACATATCGTCCATTAGAGAACTGCCGAATAAATGTCGATTTACATTCAGTGATGATTTACAAAACTTATTTATGTTTCCTGAGTACTCAGATAAAAGTACAAATGCATTAAATTCGTCGTTTTCAGAAATGGAAATAAACGAAAATGAATAAACATATGATATTAATAATTATAATTTTCTTTTTTAAAATTTCAAAAATAAATTATATAGATACGTGACATAAATTTACCTATTTAATAATTTAAAAATATAAATGTACAACATATTACATAGGTAAATAAGTAAGATAGATACACTTCATTTATATATTTTGAAATATTATGTACATGTATGACGTGTGGACGAAAAATAAGAAATATAAAAAAATTCATGTTTTGTTGCAAATATTACGATAAACCTTACAGAAATAATTTCTGTACGCTATAACTCCCTATGGACGCAAAAAAAAAATAACATTTTCAAAATCCTGGGAATATTCTTTATTTTATGTACATATCAGATTTTGGATAAAATTGAGTAATTTTTATTTACACGCTTCAGAAAAAAATAAAAATCTTAAAATTTAAAATATTTCCAAATAACTTTGGATTGTAAAAAAAAAAATTTAATAAATATTTTTTTACCTGTCTAATATAATTAATACGCATATAGGAAATAACATAAAAAAAAAAATTCAAAAAAAAAATTATATTTCCCTGATAAATAAAAAAATAAAGTTTCATTAAAAATAACGAAAAAATCGTATAAAACGTACAATTGTCCATGTTCAAATAATTATACACATGGTAAAAATAAATGTAGGATTGTAAAATTTTATATTCGAGCTAAGGAACATATGATAATAAGGTTTTAACATTTTTTTAAATTTTTTTTGATAAATTTGGAATAGGACTTTTGAACGCCTAAAATAACGTTTCAGACCACTGTGCGGCCCTGTTAGTACTACCGTTATTTTACAGACTTGGTTTAAATTCATTATTGCCAAAAAAATTAAGTTTGAAAATTCGTTGTGTGTATAAAATCTAATTATATTTTTAAGTACCCACGAATAATATTTTTAAATTACAACAAAATAACACAAATCATTATACTTGATTATTTAATGTGTTATTTTGTCCTAATTTGATCATAAAATAACTATTGTAAAAAGCTGTGTTGATATATTTTTTTAGATTTTCAGTTACTGCTTGTGAAAAACTTTTTTTTTAATTTTTCGATCCTTAGCTATAAAAGTTGAGAATTTTATAAATATTTCAATACAAAATGATTTGTAAATTATCAATTTGATACATTTTTCAAAAATTGAACTTTAAATGCTTATTAAACAAAATTGTGCTTAGCATTTTAAATATTCTTAAGTTGATATTGTAAAATTATATCAGAAGCCTTGTATTAAATATTCAAGCTTTTTGATCAAACAAATAAAATTGTATTGATATTTATAGAAAACCAAACTAAAAAAACTAACAGCTCAACACAAATCAAAATATTTCGAAAATTTTATCAAGTTTATGAATTGATGAAAAAAAAAATATGGTGTACATTTCAAATACCTAATTATTTACCCAAATAGACTATAAATAAACCCAGTTATTCGTTTTTGAGTTAGGTACATGAAGAAAAAAATCGATTTTGTGTAAAAATTCCTGTTTTCCTTATTTTTTTTCTTTTCTTGATGATTTTAAAAACCGTTTTGAACATTTTCAATTATGACCTCTCAAAAGTAATAACTATATTTAATTTTCAATCAGAAAATATACTGAAGTTGAACATTTTTATGCAGCATTTTTAGTGCAACTAAAAGGTGATGACACTCAAAGAAAAAAAATCGTAAAATCAGTACTTTCATCGCTCCGCCAAAAAACTCTAAAATATACAGGTAATTTTACTAATTTTGACATAGTGTTTCTTTCCTAATATATTATTATATGAAACACTATAATAGTATAATACATTTCAGGAAACTGAATACCATTCACTTACGTCTGGTTTCGTAAGCTTTAACCATATGTTGTAGTTGTATAGATGTATAAAGTTATTCCCATTTAACGTCAAAATCACCAGTTGGATTTTTAAGTGAACGAAATAGTTAAATATTATAATACAGTAGTAAAATATAGATGCACGAGAAAAACTTTTATGTCGCGCTTTTGTGAAATTCAATGTTGTAATAATAAACTTAAATAATAAATATTTACTATATCAGTAACTTTTGTGCATGTCTAGGTATTATACAATATTATTTAACTGTATGTATATTTTAAATCGATATTCAACAGATTTCATAACAAACAAGTTATTTCCCGTGGCTTTACTTGCATAGCAGTATAACTATAATCATAAATAACTATAAGTTATTACCTACTAATATATAATCCAAAAAAGAAGCCTACTTAGGTACTCTCTCAAGCTTTATCGCCATACTAAATTTGATTAAAATTGCCTTAGCATTTCCGCCGTGGAATTGTGGAAAGGTAATAGACAGAGATACTTTATTACTTTCACATTTACAAATTATTATAATAGGATAAGATAAATATAAAAACCCATGTCACTTATCAATTTTAATTGATATAGGTAATCAATAATTTTACATTGGTAATATTCAATTTTATTATAATAGTCAACTCCTATTTTCCAACTCCATTGTTATCTCCCATACCTACTGTGCTAACCTTAAATCATTATAAATTATAGACTGCTTAATGTAAACTCTCGTATATTTATCCAACCCTCAAGTGTAAATAAGTGACGACTATAGTAGTATAGTCGCACATACGTAGATGGCACGATTCACCCGGAGACTCGTCGCTTGAGTGTGCGTCAAATTGTGAACCCGGGCAAGATATGGGAATGGCTCCACCCATAGAATACGATCGAAGGTGCTAAATCATAGCTCTGTCTTCTTTGTCGGTCGACTTCTTCTCTCTTCATACCAGCAGAAGCGCAGACGCACATTACTTTAATTAAAAAATCAATATAGCTAAAGGGACATCGTACGACGTCGTACGTTTCTCACATTTCATTTTTCCAACCAGAACAATTTGCTTACGACTAAAGATTTATTGTATTTAATTAATTTTTGTTGAATATTCACATTCAAGGAAGCTTTTATTGCCCGTGAAAAGGATTATTGAACTGAACGTGATCAATTTGTTGAAAAAGACAGAACTCGTAAAATTACTATATTCCTATATCTGGTAAGTCTTGTACTTGTTGATACCTAAAGTGTGCAGGATTACATTGGGGAAATTACTCGTTACTCGTCGTCAAGTTTATTCTCTGTTACCAAACTCGCTCCATTTAATAGGCAATTAGAAAAGCGAATTGTAATGCTTGGTCAAAAAGCTTGACAACTTTTAATGAAAATTTAAATGTTATTCATAATTAGTTGTTCCTAGAACAAATTACATTTAAAAAAAATTAATTTTAATAAGCTGTGGAACTTTTCAAGTTTAAATTCTAACAAAATTCTTAAAAAATTTTAAAATGTTAGAATAATTATATTCCATTAAGTTTAAAATTCATACTGCAGTTTTCAATTTAGTAACTGCTATTTTGCTTTCAATTTTTTTTCTGTACTTATTAAAGTATGTAGTATGTTGAACGGATTTTCGACAAAAAAAATCACATAAACATAGGGCAAATGGCTAAATCAGTGAGAATAGGTGGTTTTATTCAGGAACAAGCCTTCTATGGGAGCCGGGCTGAAGGAAATTGGTAATATTGACAAATTTGATAAAAAAATTTTCAGTTGGTCAAAAAACTTGAAAATGTAATTCAAGGTCCCTTATTGTTAGTCTATCTTCAAAAAAAAAAAAAATATATTTACTAGGAAGTCGAATTACATTTTTATCAGCGTTTGAAGTTCAAATTTTTACAAAATTGAATTTTCACTTTCATTGAGTTATTTTCTTATTTTTATAAGTAAATTAAGTTTTATTTTTTCAGTTATTCCAGCTCTGGAATCATATATTTAATTATATGTTTGTTATGCACTAACAAACAAAATTTAATTTAATTAATAAGAAATTTGAAAACCTGGAATACTGAGACTAAATTGTTATATTAGATTATTACTATTTTCGTTATCGGCTTGATTCTTAAATGTATTAAACACGTTTGTAGATTGTCAGTATCCACGTAGACTCTACGTCGTAAAGCGTTCGTTTTCTATATAAAAACGTTTTGTCTGACAATAGAGTCAGTTTCACTACTGCAAATCTTGCAAAATACACTGTAGTTAATTATTTTAGATTTTAAGCGGAGCGATGAATGTATTGATTTTACAATAATGTATGTTTTTATATTCATTTTTTTTTTTTAAGTCTATCGTCGCGGTTTCTTGCAGTAAAAAAACTTTGATTTTCTCCAATATCAGCTTTTCTGGTAGGAAAGTGAATCTAGTTGGTGCATTCGGGAGGTCAAAATTTAAAATTTCCAATAGTTTTCAAAAGCAACAGGAAAAACAAACAGAAAAATGAAGGGAAAATGGGGAAGTTTTTCGAAAAAATCGATTTTGGATTTTAGTGGAACTCTAACAAAAATGAACGCAGATAAATGCAATTTTCACTGAATATTTATGTAAGAATTTTCTATACACCATAAAAAATTCGAAATATTTTGATTTTGGTTAAACTTTAGCCCAAGTCGATAAAAAAATGTTCACTTCGTCAAAAAACTTGAAAACGTAATACAACGCTCCTTGTAAGCTGTTGTTAGTGGAAATCAAAAAAAAAGTTGAGCATAAATCCACAATAATTTTTTATGAGAGTTTAAACTTAGAATTTTGACAAAATTCGTAAAAAATGATGAAAATTAGCAAATTATATTTAGTTAAAAATGTATAAAAATGTTTCTATTTCTGTCTAAGATTTAAAAATTGTATACAAGATTCCTTGAATTCCTAATTCATGTTAATTTTTAGTCATGCTTTTTTGTACTATTTAGAAAAATAAATATGCTTAATTTTTGCTTTTTTTTTACAAAATCTTGTACTTTTTTTATTATTTATTATGCTTTTAAATCCGAGCCCTAGTCATTATTTATCAGTTATCTATATAGTATAAATACGTAAACGATATTATACAATAACTGGGTATATACATTATTAGATGATTTTATGTTAAGGTACCAATATAAGTCTACATT